ACCCAGTCACCGTGGATGGAGCAGTTGACTGTGACATTGCAGAGGCCAGCAGACATGTTGGAGCTCAGGACCGACACTCTCATGACAGGTCTGGGAACGTTTTCTGCAACACCAGCCCAAGCAGGTAAATTAATGTGAGATTAGAGGATTTAATGGCACCGTCTGCTGGATGCCATCTGGAAATACAGTATAACAGTGATTATACTTTGGTAGTTTTAACTTTGGAATGTGCAAATGAATAAGGATGTTAAATAACAGCCTTGTATACAACAGAAGATAAATGTTACTAAACTCGCTTGTAAAGTCAAACTACTCCATAGATCCTACCTTGAACAATGACTCTGTGTGTCTCAGAAAATTGAGTAAAGTTAGAGTCATGAAATGACAACTGATACACGCCACTGTCTGCAGCAGTCAGCTCTTTTATGCACAAGGTAAAGTTTCCAGGATTACAAATCACTTTCTGTTTGTAGATGGGGTTGATGGTTGTCTCAGTAGCAATAACTTTTCCAGCAAATGTCCATTGACTGCTATGATATGGTGGAGGTTTTCTAACACGTAGACATACAGAGCTGTTTATCAGCTGGTAGTGTGTCAATGATGGATCCTCTGCCATGATTCCTGGTAAGAAATACCACAGTAAAAGAACATATTTTAAAATACACCATTGTACCAAACAAAATTTACCTTACATACACTAAAAAAGACATACAAGTGTCTGGATGCAAAATTAAATCTCTCTCCAAACTATTAATTTTTTAAATGGCATTGCTGTAAAAATAAATAAAAAAAACAAAAGTAAGCAATGTCAGTAGAATCAGAGTAAATGTCTGGAGCACGAGGGATTAGATCATATTATAACAAATTACCTCAGAGCAACTTTATAATTTTGTCAAATTTCCTACATTAACCTAAAAAACTATTGCAACTGTACTACATTCAACATGGTAATACAACCTGTTTCTATGTGGTACGTCATATAGTACAAACACAGATTAAGTGGTTTGGACATTTATCATGGAAACTGTTTATCTTACCTGCTGTAATCCAACAAATCAGAAGAAGAAACATTTTAAATCCACCTACAATACAGAGCATGTAATCTCAGCTCATGTGTCGCTGTTAAAATGTGACAGCAAAGCAATGACAGCAGGTGTAAGTCAGGAAGTGGTATAAAAGTACAGCTGTTCAAAAAAAGGTCAGAGAGTGAGAACATAATTTGTTTAAAATCACTGGAATGTAACCCACATAGTCTAATCCTAAACTGCACTGAAGAATTAATGTGTCTCATGTGAGAGATAAGATAAGTGAGCAGGACTATTTGTTGTTGTGATATAGTAACATACTGTCGCTGCATTTTTAAAAAGGCAGCATGCAGCATTATTTGTAACCACAACTAGTCCCTCTACATGTGTGACAGTGAAACCAGAATATGTGAAGGTTAAGATGAGTACCTGTGGGTTTGTTTCGGTTGTGAACACAGGTGCAAACAAACGGTGGGACTGTGGGATTTTCTTGTTGCAAGACTGTGCACGAAACAAGAGCAAGGTTTCACTTTGTGCAAAATCTAATTTCCAGTGTTGTTCACAAAGGTAACAGTGACATTTGTTTTGTATTTGAAGAAGATATTAAAGTACAAACTGTCTTGTTTTCCACCTTTACCTGTATACAGTTTATATATAATACATACACACATTTCTGTCTATGATATGTGCTGTGTTATGGGGCAAAAAGTACCTGCTTAAGATGTTATCAGGGGCAGGGGATTTCAAACTAGTGGAAACAGCCAGGCTTTTTAACCTTTTAATAGTATTAGTACATTACTACATGACCAAGGGAAATTTTGTTTGTAGGCTACAGTGGTAATGTACCAGATATCAAAATTAAAAAGAATAACAATTATATGTAATGCTTCTTCTTCTCCTTCTTTCGGCTGTTCCTGTTAGGGGTCGCCACAGCGAATCATCTGTTTCCACCTAACTCTATCCTCAGCATCCTCTACTCTCACTCCAATCAACTTCATGTCCTCTTTTAGCACATCCATATATCTCCTCTTTGGCCTTCCTCTTGACCTCTTGCCTGGCAGCTCCATCTCCAACATCCTTCTACCAATATAACCACTATCCCTCCTCTGCACATGTCCAAACCATCTCAATCTGGCCTCTCTGACCTTGTCCCC